AGCTAGTCTTTAGATTTTCGGCTCTGCTTTTAAGTACAGCCAAACCTCCCTTAGGACTGAAGTTTTACTTGCAAGCAAATTCAGTGCAGACTCTCAGCAAGCAAATTTGAGAGACTAGATAGATCATTGAATGATTCTGTAAGCAACTCAATCTGCCTGCTTTGCCTGATTTTGGGTAAAAGTTGCTCTTTTTTATAAAAAAATTCAATATTTACATGCATGGTGTGTTGTGAATTAATTTTATGAGTTTGTGAGCAAATTTTATGTGTCAGACTGAGCTAGCCGATGGCAGATAGATCTCTGAATCTGTGATTCTGTGAGCAACTCAATCTGCCTGCCTGCTTTGCCTGATTTTGGGTAAAAGTTGTTCTTTTTTAATAAAAAAATTCAATAGTTATATAAATATTTATAATATTTACATACAAGCCATGCCCAGCCAGTCACATGACCACCAAGCCACACCCACAAATTAGGCCACACCCACAGAACCAGTTAGTGGTCCCTGGGATCTAAAATTATGAGTTTGGTGGTCCCTGAGGTCCAAAAGGTTGGCAACCCTCTGGGCTAGAAGATCTCCACGGTCTCTACAGTTCTGTTATTCCATTAAATTCAGTCATTACTTAAAAGGCAGAAGATCTGTTGGCATAACTCACTCAAATATGGCAAGCAGTGGAAAAAATTGTGTGCTTCATTGATTATAGAAAGATCTTTGATTGTGTTGATCACATCAAATTCAGAAAAATGAGAATTCCAGAATATCTCATTGTCCTCATGAGAAACTTACACACCTGTCAGGAAGCCACAATACAAACAGAACAGACTGGCTCCAGGTTGACAAAGGACTGCAACAAAGTTGCATCTTCCCTCCTTATTTATTAAACTTATATGTTGAATATATATTAAGGGAAGTTGGATTGGAAGATGATGTAGTTTTAAAATTGGAGAAACATTAATTACCTCTACTATCTGATGACATTGATCCTGATAGTTGAAAATGTAAACGATTTGCAAAAAGGTAATAAAACCTAAGGAACACAGGAAAAATGGGATTAAAATTAAAGACCAAATTAGTTACAACAAGTAGTCTTATAATTGACAGTGAAAATATTGAAATGATAGATAGCTTCTTGTCTTTTAGGATTAACCATCAGCAGCAAAGCAACAAGAGGACTGGTCACTTAGCAACTATTCAAAGTTCTATCGACCTGCCCCCTCAGGCCCCATTTTGGAGTTAACGGCCATTGCAATCATTCACTTTTATGACCACAAGGACACTGCAGCACCCGCCTCCCATCTCTCACCCCACCAGGTTCCCCTAGTTCCTCCCACAGGTCTCGTATGCTGTTAGCATAAAAGGATTTTATGGAGATTTCTTTATTCTTTCATAGAATAAAGATCTTTCCAATCAGTATATGGGATTCAAATCAAAATTGTTTTTCACATAGAAATTTGTTTTACGAAGTAGGCTATATAAATGAAAGGTAATCATACTCTGTTTTGTGTTATTTAGCTAAAAGGAGCGACCAAGAAGTAAAGGATGAAGAGATGGAGTTGTTCACAAAATACTACCTGGAATGGAAAGGAGGAAGAAAAAGTGCCAGTACCTCTTATGTGAACATACCACGATTTTATTACAGGGTAGGTTTTCAGTGTTGCTCTCGGCAAGGTCTTTAAAATACACACAATTTTTATGGTAAAACAAGTTAATTAAGAATAAGCCTCCAAGGATCATTTAAATTATATAAAATCTAGAGTACTATTTCAGCTGATCTCAGATTTTTAAAACTTCAGATATTTAAAAACTGCAAGATTAAGTTGGATGTTTTGATACAAATAGTCAAAATATATCAGAAAGAAATTTCAACTTCTTGAAAAGCAAGATACTAGAACAATATCATTTTTTTTTACACAAAACTATTTTTAAAACTGATTTCTATAGATACAGAATTAACTACAATGTTAGACACAACTGGTTTTTTTTTACTAGGAAGAGAATTAGTTTAGTTCTATTGACTGGGAGTGGAATCAGGATTGAAACTCCACGTCAACAAAAATAATACATTAATTCTATAGCTAACTTGTATCATATCTAGTAAAATTGCAATAGTATTGCACATACAGGTTTGTGATATATTGTGTAAATTTAAGGATCCAATTCAAGGTGTTGGTTATTTACTTATAAAGCCCTTTATGATATGGGACCAGTGCATCACCTCAAAAGGACTAGCTCACCCTATTTGTTCCAATGGAAAGGGACTAATTTGGATCCCATGTGCCAAAGAATTTTTGTCTCGCGGTGTCCAGAAGACCTTTTTCTACTGTGGCCCCCTGGGCTGCTACACTGGGTATGGTTAAATGAGTAGAGAAGATCCCTACCCCAGACCACTCATCATCTTGGTTTTTAGCTTTTCTTTAATTCCTCTAATTTTGTCTTTTAAGACTTTTTCACTTTTTATCATATTGTAAGCCACCCACAGTCATTGTATCAGTGAGATTCATGGCATAAATAAGTAGGTAAATAAAGTGTGTTAACACTTTCATCTTTCATTATATGAAACAGTACTACTGTTCAGTGAAACCTCATTTTAATGAACTAATTCAAAATAATCTGGTCCAAAGTTTATCCATAAGCACAATCAGTGAAGTTGATTATGAACCCTGAACTGAAACCTGACTTTCAAGGGTCCAGATAATTTATTCCTTTTGAGTTCGGACCTACAAAGCACAAATTGGAGACCAGTCTAACTGTTAATTTAGTTAGATCAAGGGAATGTTTCTTGTGCAGGAGGTGCAACTAGATTCTTTAAGCGGTAATGGATGACTCCATTCAGGTGTTGATTCCTGCTTGAATCCAAGCTCATGCTACTTACATGTGAGGCCTTAACTAGCCATAGGTGTTACTAATACAAGTAGAAGATGGTGATGGTAAAGAAGACGTATGTCTTTAGGACACTCAGGATCAAACTGTTAGTTCAATTCACAGGACAAAGCCCTAGTCCCTTCTGTTGTTATTCTCCAGTTACCAACTCCATTAAAATAATTTATCCACCCAATTATTTATCAGAGGCTAGAGAGATCAGCATGGAATTCCTGTTTGACCAGATAAGAAGGAATGAAGGCCTTGAACATGACATGTGAATAGCAATGTTAATTTAATAACAGCCTCTTAAGAGAATTGCACATGGCAAGCTGAAACATTTGGCTAAAAAATAAGTTGCAAGACAAATGAAACAGCGGAGAATTCGGGTTTGGGGGGAGGGGGGAATGGATGCCAGCCTTATTTATTTGAGTTATAAGTTTAGACTCCTTAGGTATACTTTTATGGAAGTGGTAATACCCAACTTCCTATTTAGTTTCTTTTATCTCTACATTTTTACTTTTTAACACCCTCTGTTTGTTTAAATCAGTAAAAAAAACTTATTATAAAGGGGGTTTATTGGATTATAGAAAGAAATTGAGGCAATTGTTAACATGCATGGAAGAAGCTAAGTACTATCAATTGCCAATGATTCTTTGTTGTTCATTAGGAATAATGGATAAGGAGGCAAGGGATAAGACAGCCAAAGATGAAAGAAAGAAAGAAAGAAAGAAAGAAAGAAAGAAAGAAAGAAAGAA